TTACAGCAGAACAAAATGTACCAATTAACACTCTAGAATAAGTCCATATCTCTATATTTCCACTGCTGTTAGTTTAATTTCAGTAACTATCGGGTTCTCCTGGACTAGAGCAATGGTCTAATTCTGTGATTCTCAACCATGATAGTACCTCCCCCACTCCCACCCTTCTGGGCCACTGGAGATGTATGTGTATGGGGGCAGGGAGGGTATGCTTTTGGTTGACCTAGAGAAGGGTGCTATTGACATTCAATGAACAGGAGCCAGATATACTACAAATTCAGCAGTGTTGCCCACACAATGATTTATCCCACCCAATATGTTAACTGCAGCTCCATTAAGAAAACCTGTACTGGTTCCCTATCTCTACTCTTAGCTCTCTCTACACTGCAGCCACAGAGAGCTTTTTCAAAGCGCACATTGGATGATTTGTCTCCTATGTGCAATACCCTTCAAGAGCTTCCCCTTTCACTAAAGCTCAAAATCTAAAATTTACAAACTCCTGCCTCCCTCTCCAGTTTCATCTCTTGCCACTTCCCTCTAATCCCCACACTCACTTTGCTTCAGGCAGTCATTCATTCAACAAATAATGATTAAATATCTACCATGTGCCAGGACTTACTCGAAGTGATGAACAGTGAACAAAAGAGACAACAATTCTCTGCTTTCATGGAACTTGCATTCTAGTTCCATGAAGCTGCCAGGCTTCTTCTCACCTCAGAGCCTTGCCACATGCTTAGCCAATTCCTACTCAAACTTCAGATCTCAGCTTAGACACCCTTTTTCAGGGAACCATTCTCTGACCCCACCCCACTAAGTCAGGTCCACTTATGAAATGATCCCATAACTCTGAACTTTTTAGTGAATCCAGTTGAAATTACTTAATATCCATTTTTTCTGTTATCGCTCCAGGGCCTAGCATATACCTAGAACACAGAAGGCACTCAAGAATATTTATTTATGAAGATGTGTATGTTACATATATGCATGAGTCTTTACACTTTATGAATATGTATTTATAAACACATTCATGTCTGTGTATATTTCCATGTATTTCTGCAGATGACTATGTGAATATGTATTTCTTGATCATTTACACATGTATGCATGTATGGATACATACATACAATTTTGGGTATGCCCAGTTGGGTATATTCATTCATATGAATATATTCGTATGTATTTATATGTGTGTGTGTGTGTATTCTTCTGGCCTCTCAGCGACAGCTCTGACTTCCTAAAGGGAGCTAGGAGCAGGGCCCCAAGTCCTCTCTAAGCTGATAGCTCAATTAGAGTGTAAGATCATTCAATGACATTCCAAATGTCAGCAAACATTGGCTAGCTCCACTCTGCTACAGGGGAAGTAGGTGGAGGTGAGAGACGTGAAAACCTGGCCATTGAAAAGTTGCTCTTCCTACACCATTTCTGGACAGGAGAGGGCAAATGAAAGACAACATTTTGCCTCTTCTCAGACTAGAGGCCTTAGGAAATGGGGATGGCGAATTAAGCCCCAGTTGCTTACTCACTAGGCAGGTCTAGGTGGTCAAGCAGACCAGGAACTTACCCACTTTTTTCATAAGGAAAAGCTCTGCTAGGGTAGTTGAGAAGGAGAGAAGAAAGGGAAGGGGGGAGGATAAAGTAAGATCGAGGGCAGGAGAGAACCCCATAAAAAGAGAGGCTCTGGGTCACATATGGGGAAAGAAGGCATGGAGTAAGACTTCTGCATAACACTCCCACGACCTTGGCAATGACCTCTCTGGCTTTGTTTTTAGTGTTAATCTTTGAAGGGAGTAGGAATCTTTGTGTGGTTTGCATTGAGTCATGCAGTGAAGAGGTCAGAATGATTGCCACACCCCTGGGCCTCCAGAGCCCTACAGCCTCCCTATTTTGAAGGGCTGCTGGCAAGGAATGGACTAAAGTTCAGAATTAAATCATTTCTCCTGCTGGGCTCTCAAATACAGCTGGAACATGATGTGGTTAGAGGGTTAGACCTATTCAGTTTACCTCCCAAGAGGCAATCACAAGGGTACCTAGGAAGAGAATCCTGTTTCCCCATGTACCCATTTCCCCCCTCTCTGCCTCAGTACAGACTGGCAGAGAACCAAGCTGAACAGGCTCTGAGTAGCTTGCCTCCACCCCCAGCAGCACCAAGGTAGCCTTGAGTGACAATGTTATCACATGGGTCAGCTGTTTTCCTGCCTTTTTGCCAAGGAACCTAGAGGCAGAGAGCTATCCATACACCAAAAGTCAAGTGAACTTTACAGAGCTATTGTTCATGGTCAGCGCCTGCCTCGCCTGGCTGGGCCATCACATTGCATTTGCCAAGGCCTGTAAGCAGCCTCAGATGCACTCTGACAGCTTGTATGCCGTCTTCCAGCAGCGCAGGTTGAACCACACCATACAGATAGCCTTGCCAAGCCCCGTGTGCAAGGGCCTTTATGGAGAAAACTATCAAAGATGAGTCAGCCAGCAAGCTGTTACTCACTGAGCACATACTTTGTACCTCGCCTTGATCTGGCCACTGAGAGGACACAGAGAGGAAACAGACTCAGTCTCTGTGTTCCAGAGGGACATGTCTGCAAGGAAACACACAGACTCAGTTCCAGCACTCTGAGGTCACTAACATCTAATGTCAAGGAGCCTCAAGGCCAGAGATTGAACCCTGAGCTTCTCAACAGAGGTGACAGCTCAGCTGAACCTTCAAGGAGTGGTAATATGCCTAGTGAAGATGACTGGGGGACACTTCAGACAGGGGTAAAGCCACAGGCCAAGGCACCAAGGTAGGAAAGAGCCTTGCCTTCTCAGCCAAAGATGGGAGGTAGTAAACACCATTGCTCAGGTCCACATATCAGCAGGCACAGAGGGTAGAGATCAAAGTACAAATAAGCCAGAGCACAAAGGAACTGCATACAAGAAAGCAAAGTTCACAAATGTTGCCCCAAGACCTATGGAACAAAGTCCAAGGTCACTCTCTTCCACTGTTCCTCTGCATGCCCAATTAGCTCCAGCCCACACACATACCAGGAGTCTGCTGCTCCCCCTGCTTAGAAAGATTTCTCCTCAGATCCACATCCCACCTTCCTTGAATACACAGTTCAAGACCCAAATCTTCACGACACCCACACTGACTCTCCAATGACCTCTCTTCTCTGAGCCCCCTGGGAGCCACTACTCTGACCCATGGTGTGTTCTCCCTTCTCTGAGCTTCCTGGGAGCCACTGAGCTGAGCAGCGGCATGGGGTTTCTGAGGCTGCTCTAGGGCTGTTGCCCTTACATCAGAAAGATTTATGGGGGTGAGTCTCCCTAGGGGACTGGGACTCCTGGAGCAACGTTCGCAGAGCAGGGATCTGGGGAGTCTATTCCTACACCTCCTTTCTTCTGTTAACCTATAGACTAGGAAAGAAGAGTTTTCTGGGTGACTCATTCTCTGCCAGGGCCCACTTTCCAAGCCACAGGGTGGCTCCTAGCACACAGCCTTGGCCCCCACCCCCAGGTTCTTAGTGCTGTGTTAGTGCCAGTGTCCTCCCTCATGCTCAGAGGGAACTGAGCTCTAGTCCCCATGGTTCTTCTCACAAGAGCAAAGCTCTGCTGAGTCTAGACAGGACCAAAGCCGGCCTGAACCAACACCACTTGACAACCAGAGGGAGATGCCAGGGTATCAGGAGGGTCAGAGGAGACAGACTAATGATCACATCAGAGAGGATACTTCCCCAGAGGCTCAGCTAGTGCCACTTCTCTCCTGAGGCAATGCAGCTCAGCTAGGTAGTAAACACCATTGCTCAGGTCCACATATCAGCAGGCACAGAGGGTAGAGATCAAAGTACAAATAAGCCAGAGCACAAAGGAACTGCATACAAGAAAGCAAAGTTCACAAATGTTGCCCCAAGACCTATGGAACAAAGTCCAAGGTCACTCTCTTCCACTGTTCCTCTGCATGCCCAATTAGCTCCAGCCCACACACATACCAGGAGTCTGCTGCTCCCCCTGCTTAGAAAGATTTCTCCTCAGATCCACATCCCACCTTCCTTGAATACACAGTTCAAGACCCAAATCTTCACGACACCCACACTGACTCTCCAATGACCTCTCTTCTCTGAGCCCCCTGGGAGCCACTACTCTGACCCATGGTGTGTTCTCCCTTCTCTGAGCTTCCTGGGAGCCACTGAGCTGAGCAGCGGCATGGGGTTTCTGAGGCTGCTCTAGGGCTGTTGCCCTTACATCAGAAAGATTTATGGGGGTGAGTCTCCCTAGGGGACTGGGACTCCTGGAGCAACGTTCGCAGAGCAGGGATCTGGGGAGTCTATTCCTACACCTCCTTTCTTCTGTTAACCTATAGACTAGGAAAGAAGAGTTTTCTGGGTGACTCATTCTCTGCCAGGGCCCACTTTCCAAGCCACAGGGTGGCTCCTAGCACACAGCCTTGGCCCCCACCCCCAGGTTCTTAGTGCTGTGTTAGTGCCAGTGTCCTCCCTCATGCTCAGAGGGAACTGAGCTCTAGTCCCCATGGTTCTTCTCACAAGAGCAAAGCTCTGCTGAGTCTAGACAGGACCAAAGCCGGCCTGAACCAACACCACTTGACAACCAGAGGGAGATGCCAGGGTATCAGGAGGGTCAGAGGAGACAGACTAATGATCACATCAGAGAGGATACTTCCCCAGAGGCTCAGCTAGTGCCACTTCTCTCCTGAGGCAATGCAGCTCAGCCAGGAGATTCAGCTCTGAGAAAGAATCTGGAAAATCCCCTTAGTTGGCACTTCTTTGTACATCTGGGAGACATCAAGTAGAGTAGTGTCATACTCCACCCAGCAGCCTGGTCCACAAGCAGCTCCCCTCTCCCAGAAATAACCACAATCTTCTGTGGAAGGAGGGATGTTGAGAAAAGAGAAGAAAAGAAAGGAGGTGACAACAACAAAAAGAAAAGAACAGAGATGAAGGAAGAAAGCAAGGGAGAGATCTAGGCACAGGAGAACCAGAGGAAGCACCAAGTGGGCTCAGACACAGTACCTTTTTCAGATTAATCCACTGCTTGAAGTAATCCGCCACTGGCAAGCCCAAGCACTGGCACTGGCCCGGGAGCCTGGAAAAAATGGAAGAGAGAAGAGTTGGGCACAACCATGTCCCATGTTTGGGGTCAGGCGAGGAAATCCAGCACTGTCCACAGGGCAAATAGACTCGAAGGCTCACCCATTGGCCATGGGTCCCACCCCACCCAAGAAAGGCACCCTACCTCCTGGACACTGGACTCTAGACCCAGCCCTCAGATCCAAATGTGAGAACCTAGAGATGCTATTCAAAATACTATCAGCAGCTACTATTTTCTGATGGCCTGCAATATGCTAAGTATCTTACTTACATTTTCACATTATTCTTCAAAACAATGCTGTGAAGTGGGTACTGCTGCCTAGATTTTACAGATGAGAAAATGAGATTCAGATGGGTTACCTAAGGTTCCACAGCTAAAAAATGATAGGGCCAAGAACTGAACCCAGGTCCATCTCATCCCAAAGCCTACATTCTTTCCAATGAATTAGTTTATTGTTCTTTTGTTACAGCAGAGAGGCAGAGATATAAGACAGAAAGAGAGAAAGAGCACATGATTTAGATATAGCTGTGCAGGGGTTTCAGCTCCCATTTAAGTCTCCAGCAACAGGTTTTCTGCAGATAGAGACCCTGCAGAAGGATAAGAAGAGGGCAAGATTTAAACCAAGAGTTTTTGTCTTTTCTTTAAATTACAATTTATAAACTGTTTTCCCCTCTAGCTATGATGTTGTACCCACCCAAATTCATTCAACCAAACATTTACTGATGTTTAGTAAGTCAAGCACTCTTAACTCAAAAAGTAAGACTGAATTCCTGCCCCTAAGGGGCTCACAGTTTGTTCAATGGAATGGACAATACAAGAAATAGACAAAACTGCCTTAATTTGGAGCTGTGGGGTACATGAAAGGACAGAAGATGATACTAGAAATATCAGCTAGGAACAATCAGAATTTTCTTGCTAAGAGAAGAGCTTGGCATAGGCAACAGAGAGCTTCTGAAGAGCTATGATTTACAAAGACTGGTCTGGAGGCAACAAAACAATAGGACTAAAAGAGCTGGGTAGTAGCCAGAAGACTACACAGCCGAAGAGATAACAAGCAAGGAATAGATACAAGAGATGCAAAGGAGGCTTTGGTGACCAAATGGGGTGTGGGGCCAAGTGAACCTAATTCAAAGGTTTGTGACTTGGCCAGCTTCACGCTACTGAGACAGATACAAAGATGGAAGCATGGGGACAGAGAATGTATTTGATGCCCAGAGCAGACTGGCATTTAGTCCATTTTATTATTGTTTTTAGATTCTCTGCCCAAACAAGGGTGGACTACTCCCACTGCCTCACCCCTGGTATATGGGAGGAATTTGGAAATGCAAGTTTAGATATATGCCTGACATATGGGAAGCACACAATACCTGCCGAGAGTGAAGTGCCTAGGAGACAGCTGGCAGTGGGAAGATATCTAAAAGGGAGCTGGATATCCAGTTTTTAACAGAGGTCTGGACAGGAGATATAAACTGCTGAACCGTTAATGTAACTTAAGTAAAATTAAAGTTATGAGAGTAGATAAGTTCATCTGGGAGGAGTACGGAGTGAAATGAGCAGAGAGCCCAGGCTAATGTCTTGTAAGTTTTATTGAGCTAAAAAGAAACCAGGTCACCTCTGTAAGACCACTACCACACACAACAAACTCACTACATCCTACAACAGCCACATCTAATTTTAGACTCCTTCAATTCTTAGAACATCTTTCCTTAATACTAAGCTAAAATCCATCTCCTTGTAACTTCCACCCTGAGTCTGAGGTATATCTTTACAAACTAGAGAATGAGACTTCCATCTCTTCCTTGCAGAACACTTCCAAGATCTAGGAGCCCAGGAAGGTTTCCCTTCTCCAGGTCACATAGCCTCGGCTCCTTCAAGAATTCCACAGGAGATAAGGTACTGCAAGTCAGGATTCACCCAACCCACCCCCATCCCTGGACCTTTTTCAGGGTATCAGATAACCAAGGTCATACATGGCTTTTTGACCCCAGTTTACATCACCTATGGTCAACCTAAACTGTGGAAGTGAAAGCAAACTTCCCCTTTCTGGAATATAAGTAATTGATTTTTTTATTTTAAAATAAGTCTTTAGTATCAAATGCCATAGAATGGTCAAGATGCCAGCTGAGAAATACCCAGTGAATTCGGTATCAGTGGGCTGGCAGGGGCAGAAAGCAGCACGCAATGTGTTGAGTAGTACAAGATAAGAAAGCGAAGACCACAAGTGCAAACTTCTTTTTTGGAAGTTTGGCAATAAGAACCCAGTTGACATAGCTGGTTCTACTCAGCAAGTTCCAGGGCAGTCCAGCCTTCCCTTCATTACTTTTCGGTTATTTGACAGGCACTAATACTAAATCGATCCCCATGCTTCAGGCAGTATTATATAAGGACCTACTTTTTTAAGACCTGAGATAATCTTATCTGAAGGGAAGGTTCCTCTCAAACATTCAGGTGGCGCAGTGACATTAGCCATAGCCAGTCAATTTCCTGGAAGGGAAATTCTGGCTAAGGCCAACATGAGGAAGGGGTATCCAGGTAAAATGTCCCCATGAGGGAACCAAGGACCAAGAATATAAGGAAATTAGGCAAAGTCAAAGGACTAAAGGTAGCTTTAGGAGCGACAATGTAGTTGCCTTAAGAAGCAGAACTGTAATGCTTGGATAATTTTCTTATTTCCTTCAATTTTTCTTGCATATTCATTATTGCTGATATTTGTAAAGATGCTTAACTTGAGCTCAGCAATTTTTATTATTTATTTATCTATCTATCTATCTATCCCTGGCTTACATTAGAGTTTATTCTCTGTGTCATACAGTTCCATAGGCTTTGACAAATGCTTCACGTCACAGATCCACCACTACAATGTCATACAGAATAGTTTACTGCCCTGGAAGTTCTGGAGCTTCACCAATTCATCCCTCCTTTCCTCCTAGAAAACCCATGGCAAACACTGATCTTTTTACTGCCTCTATAGTTTTGTCTTTTCTAGAAGGTGCTATAGTGGAATCACATAGTATGTAGACTTATCAGACTGACTTCTTTATATATATAACTGACTTGACATTATTACATTTAAAATTCCTCCTTGTCTTTTATGGCTCAGTAGCTTATTTCATTTTATCACTGAACACTATTCCCTTGTACAGATGTGCCAGTTTGGTTCTTCAGTCATTTAGGGAAGGACATCTTGGTTACTTAGACTTTTTTTTTTTGCTATCATTAATCTACAATTACATTAGGAACATTATGTTTACTAGACTCCCCCCATCACCAAGTCCCCCCCACAAACCCCATTAGTCACTGTCCATCAGCATAGTAAGATGCTATAGAATCACTACTTGTCTTCTCTGTGTTGCACAGCCCTCCCCGTGTCCCCCCACTATACATGCTAATCATAATGCCCCCTTTCTTTTTCTCCCCCCTTATCCCTCCCTTCCCTCCTATCCTCCTCAGTCCCTTTCCCTTTAGTAACTGTTAGTCCATTTTTGGGTTCTGTGATTCTGCTGCTGTTTTGTTCCTTCAGTTTTTTTCTTTGTTCTTACACTCCACATATTAGTGAAATCATTTGGTGATTGTCTTTCTCCGCCTGGCTTATTTCACTGAGCATAATACCCTCTAGCTCCATCCATGTTGTTGCAAATGGTAGGATCTGTTTTCTTCTTATGGCTGAATAATATTCCATTGTGTATATGTACCACCTCTTCTTTATCCATTTATCTACTGATGGACACTTACATTGCTTCCACTTCTTGGCTACTGTAAGTAGTGCTGTGATAAACATAGGGGTGCATATGTCTTTTTCAAACTGGAGTGCTGCATTCTTATGGTGGAATTCCTGGGTCAAATGGTATTACTATTTTGAGCTTTCTGAGAAACCTCCATAGTGCTTTTCACAATGGTTGAACTAATTTATATTGCCACCAGCAGTGTAGGAGGATTCCCCTTTCTCCACAACCTTGCCAACATTTGTTGTTGTTTGTCTTTTGGATGGTGGTGATCCTTATTGGTGTGAGATGATATCTCATTGTGGTTTTAATTTGCATTTCTCTGATGACTAGCGATGTGGAGCATCTTTTCATGTGTCTGTTTGTCATTCACAAAGAAGAATGTGAATTTCTTCTTTGGAGAACTGTCTGTTCAGCTCCTCTGCCCATTTTTTAATTGGACTATTTGCTTTTTGTTTGTTGAGGTGCGTGAGCTCTTTATATATTTTGGATGTCAACCCTTTATCGGATCTGTCATTTATGAATATATTCTCCAAGACTGTAGGATGCCTTTTTTTTTTTCTATTGATGGTGTCCTTTGCTGTACAAAAGCTTTTCAGCTTGATATAGTCCCATTTGTTCATTTTTGCTTTTGTTTCCCTTGTCTGGGGAGATATGTTCATGAAGAAGCCGCTCATGTTTATTTCCAAGAGATTTTTGCCTATGTCTTTTTCTAAGAATTTTATGGTTTCATGACTTACATTTAGGTCTTGGATCCATTTTGAATTTACTTTTGTGTATGGGGTTAGACAATGATCCAGTTTCATTCTCTTACATGTAGCTGTCCAGTTTTGCCAACACCAACTGTTGAAGAGGCTGTCATTTCCCCATTGTACATCCGTGGCTCCTTTATCGTATATTAATTGACCATATATGTTTGGGTTAATATCTGGAGTCTCTATTCTGTTCCACTGATCTGTGGCTCTGTTCTTGTGCCACTACCAAATTGTCTTGATTACTGTAGCTTTGTAGTAGAGCTTGAAGTTAGGAAGCAAGATCCCCCCAACTTTATTTTTCCTTCTCAGGATTGCTTAGACTTTTTGACAATCATAAATAAATTTGCTTCAACCACTCACCCACAGGTTTTGTGTGAACATACATGTTCATCTCCTTTGGGTAAATACCTGGAGCTGTGATTGCTGGGTGCACTGTGAGAATATGTTTAGCTTTGTAGGAAACTGCCCCACTGCCTTCCAAAGTGGCTGTACCAGTTTGGGTTCCCATCACCGATAC